TATAGATCCCTCATAAGCTAAACCCACCACAGAATTGAGCTTCCACTCTGCTTGATTTGTCTTTTTGATTAGTATCTTTATTTCTTTTGCTTTTAGTTCTTTTTAGTTATTTTGCTATTTTTATTACTGCTTCATTTACTATTTTAGTTTGTAACTGATATTTGATAACTCTTTACTCGATGGTCTGTAACTAACTTCTTTATTTCCAACTTATCCACTTGTTTATTTGATGTGATTAGTAGGTACCTATTCTCTTGAGGATATGTCACTATCATCCCTTTGTCAAAGTTTTTTTGTCTGTCAACTCGCCACGTCTGTTGGTCAGGGGAGTTTCAGTATCCCTCTCTCTCCTTATTTGTTTTCTGTCTTTAAACATCAAGAACAATATTTAATTCAAGTGTGGGGGAGGGTATACTTGCTTTTATATTTGTTATTTTACTTGTCCTTGAGTTTGTTTTGTTTTAGGAATTGGTTATACATATTTGTACATAGTTTAAAAAAATGATAAAAAAATTTCTGAAAATTTTGAAAATCTCATAAACATTTTTTTTTTTTGGTTTTAATCAGTTGTTTTGATGTCTTTTTGGTGAATGTGGCTAAGGTTGGATTGGTTTGAACTTAAGAGAATTAAATTTGATTAAAAGTCGGTTCTACCTTCATAGAATTTTAGTAAATAGGCAATGGATTAAGTTTGGATAATTGACAATAGTTTGTCCAAAAAGTCTATGAGAATTTTAAGCCTAAATGTTCATTTCCTTTAAGAGAGAGTACATTTATTATGATTCCATCTCTAGAACTTGTTTTGAATATTTGTTGAGACTTATAATAGCCATTTGCATACACAAAAATGATTTAGGCATTCATATCTTTTAGCTAGTATGGCCAAATATCCATCCCTTTTTCACATAAATCCTTTGTTTCACCCATTTCAGCCTTGGCCTTATTTAAAAAAAAAATCATCATATGCCCTTTTGCTAAGATTTACCCACTTTTCATCCATTTTTATTCCCATTTACTACTTTGGTTAGTGCTAAGTGTTACATTCATAAAAGAAAATGAAGGACTTAGAATTTAGTTGGGGTTTAATAAGTGGTTCAAAAGAAAAAGAAAGAGGAAACAAATGAAAAGAAGACGAAGAAAGAAGAGAAAAGAATATGGAAAGTTTAAAAAATGATAAAAAAATCAAGTGAAAAAAAAGGAGGATGTTGATCTTTATTAATACCTCTTGTAAATAGTTGTGGTTTATCCATCAATTTTCATCTTCATTTCATATGCTCAGCCCTAATTGGAATATATAATTTTGACATATTGAATAATTCCATTTCATTATCCTACCTAAAATATTATAACCTTTTAAAAGTCCTTTTGATTTGTGCATACAATGGCATAATTTAGTAGAGATTAAGATGAGAAACAAGCTTGTGATGGATGGGTTACAATAGGTGGAATTGAGTGAAACACAACCTTAGACACCTTGAGCGTAAAGTATAAACACTTGACTGGTGAGGGATAATCTATTGAAATTTATCTTTTCTTAATTAAGTGCTTTGCTACTATTATTTTTGGAAGGGAGGACAGATTTGTAATTAAATTGAGTTATTAAAAGTTTGAATTGTATTTGACCTTAAAATATTCACATTTTATTTTTTCATTTTTGTACAGTTATTTTCTTTTGCTTGAGGACAAGTAAACATTCAAGTGTGGAGGTTTGATGACTTCCAATATTTTATTGAATTTATTGGTGTTTTTAATGTAATTGAAAGTTATTTATTTGAATTTTGTTAGCAAAAATATGATTAAGTGGATGAATGTGTATGAAAATGGGCTTAAAAAATATGTTAGAAGTTAGTAGACTAATTCTATCATTTATTTTGGGTTATGCATGTAGGAAGGCCCAATTTAGGGGCCTAAAGAAGAGAATTTTGGAGCCCAAGTCAAAGGAATTAAATCTAAAAAGAAAATCTGAACAGGTCATGCTCGCTGCAGCGAAGTATGATTTTAGTAAAATGTACAGTTTTGACTCTCAACAAATTTTTAAGGTTTGGGCACCTTATTTTCGATCATTCTTCACCTCTAGTAGCTAGTGTTAGAACGTCCATGACGAGGGAAAAGAGCCAAAGAAGGGTTGCAGAACCTTGGATTTAGAGGAAAATCAAGGGTTTCGCTCAAGATTGCTCCGATTAAGCTTTTCTTCTCCTTTTTCTCTTTACTTTATTGTATATATTGTTGACTTTGCTGTCATGAAAGCCATGTGTGGCTGATTTTCTCTTAATTTAGGGTAGCTATAAACTGATTCTTGGATTAGAGCATATTTGAACCATTTATTTGAGCTTAATATTAGTTTTGTTTACTTAATCTTGTGCTTATTTGTTTACTTAATGCTTGGCCAACATTGAGTGTGAATTTGGGGGTTTGGGTTTTACCTTGGAAGAGGAAAATCTGAATTTGACCATTAGATTAAGTAATGTGGGATTAGAATTTATTTTAATTTGCCAATAGGATAGGAACATACCTATTGGATCCATATAATCACATTAGAGTAAATTTGTGCCATTTTGCCTCTTGAGAAATTGTGTTAGAAATAGCAAATTAATTTAAGAGAGAGGTGTAATTAATCAAAAGATGATTATTGTTATCAACACTCTAAATTAACATAGTAATATTAAGTGAATTTATTTGGGTAATTACATGCTCTATAAATTGAAGAAGGGATTAGCTACTCTAGGTTGCCTTGATTGTTTGTGGTTGTTAGAATTTTAATTTTAATGCATTTTTCTAATTTCAATCCTTATTTTGCAAAAATCAAATCCATATCTTACTTTGTTCCACTTAAATGAAAATGGAGACTTTATTGCCTAATTACCAATTAACTTGATTCTTCATAGGATCGACCTTAATTTGCCACTTACTAATTATGAACCGTTACACTTGCGGTAAAAACATAATTGTTTGCATCATTAACCATGAACAATAAGAATAATGCCACTAAAAAAAATGAGAGTATCGTCATGTGTTTTGAAAGTTAAAATTATTGTTTTCCCCTTAAATTGTGTTAAAAAATAATAAAATTACTTTTTCTATATCATGTGCCTTGTATAGTACATTAACCTGACATAGCAAATTCTATTAATAACTTAACAAAGTTAATTAACAGTAGGAGATTTTGAAAATAAAATTAAAGGTTAGAGTTAATTTTAAACATTTAAAAGTAAAAAATGTCATATACAACTACTTTAAAATTCAAGAGGTTTTTATGAATTTTAGTCATTTTAATGATTAAAAGTTAAAAAAATTAATTAAGACACTTTGGAAAAAATTCAGTGCCCAAAATATAAGATACTTTGATAAAATATAAAATTTATTAATTAATAATTTTTTTAATATTACTCTCTCATTATATTATCTCTCTTTAATATTATTTTATAAATGAAATATTAAACTCAAAGTATTTTAAAAAATTATATTTTTATTTTGAAAAAAAATTATAAAGTATACTTAATAGTTTTATTAATGTGCGCGATTTTAATTTGTCCAAAAATAATTTGCAAATAATTGATATGAGAGAGGACCAGAGATCAAGACATTAAATGCCCTCTTGACCAGAAAGGTTAACAAGGGCAGCGAGATTAAATGAAGATGACTTTGATTCCTGTGGCTAGGGACCAATACAACTTGCAGACTATGCCAAAATGTTAATGAGATTCCAAACTGTGGAGGAGTGTGTGTGACATAGCAATTGTCACACACGTGCTCGATCATTAGTCCTTACATGCTTGGCCACAAGTTCGTAATTAATTAGCCTTGAGATTGAAATATATGTTTTAGCCAAGAGAATGATTAGTTATATGAATATCGTCACAGAAATACACTCTACTGTAGTGGATAAAACGGATGATGAGCAAGAACATGAGGTGACCTTCGTCTAAAGTGAGGAAATATTAAAAAATTATAGTTATCACCGGCCTCTATATTTAATTCATCAAGTCTCCATATTTGATGTCTTATGCATGACCAATCTTGTGTAAAACTATATTAATGTATTCATTTATATCGCGATATCAAATGTTAAAATGTCTCAAAATGTGTTTGGATTCATGAATATTTCAATTTGAATAAATCTTTCCGATTTGGATTTTAATCTAAATCCAGATACAAAACATAATTTAATATAATTTCTTTATAATTTTAAATTTCTTATAAATTCTAATTATTTGAAATTGTACCTATTGCAATCCTCTCAATTTTTTTTTTTAACATATAAATGCTTCTGTTACTCTCAATACCATTCATCTCTCATTCTTATTTCTCATTAGTTACAAAATATAAATAAATTTATCACTTTCAATATTCCATTTTTATTTTGAATTTTAGCATGTCCCTTATCTACCTTTGAAACTTTTACTTTATCCGAACAAATAATTTTAAATATGAAATTTTTAATCTAAATTTAAATTCTAATCCACCAATCCAAATATCACCTAAGATATTCTTCTACTATTTTAAAATATTACTATGATTTTTTTTCCAGATGAGACCAATGCTTTTTTCATATAGTTAAGTAGTGAATATTCATATACAACAATACCAACATAAACAACGAAATTCACAAAGGTTATTATCAAACCACGGGATATAAATCTAGAGTATGTATAAATTTAATCTGGTACTACCAAATATCATAATTATCAAAAGATAAGTTTAATAACTGACAAGTTGATCCAATTAGTAAAGATTTAACTCATAACTCTCAATATTGTAAGACCCGCTGCTAATGTTAGAACTTTGTTGGTGAACAATTTATAAATATCTTTGCAATCTCTTATTGAGCTTAGAAGTATGGCTTGCCCCTGGAAGGCCTTTAGGATTCAATGTATCTAAATTTCATACACCCAAAAATAGTTTAATAAATGAAATACTTTATTATCCTACAGTACGTACCTCTTCTAAGACTTGGATCTAGTGAGTGCCATCCACACATTTAATAAGTGTTTAATGTGGCATGATTATAACCTTTTGATTTAATTGAATGACTATAAGAGATTTTATCATATAATATTTATGAAAAGTATGAAATCTCAAATTTTTGGAGAGGACTTCATATGTGAGGAGCGCTTTGATTGTAAGAACTATTTTAAATTTTTGGTGGAAAATGTATTCTGATAATTTTTTAAATATTGATTAAATCCAATAGCTATAAAACTAGTTGAGTAGACTTAGACAATTTACCAAATCAAGATCCACATCTTCAATCTTTACGAGCTCCGTTTCTCTGCAGACAGCAGTGGTGTGTCCATTATGCTTTGCTGTATTAATTAGATTTCATTAGCAATAAAAAAATAGTATGTCCCAACCTTCAGATAATTATATATTCATTATTTTAAAAGATTAGAATAATACAAAGTAACAAGCCAAGAGGACTATGGTGGGTCCTAAGATCCAACTCACCTTAACAATTTTCTAAAAAAAAAAAAGAATAATACAAAGTATAAAATTAGGATCTTTCTACAATTATAAGTTAATTTCACACAGACACACAATAAGATAGTACATAAACAAAAAAAATTAAAATAAAAACACGACAGAATTATATGACAGCATGGCCCTGAACTACATCTCCCTTTTATCATCACCTTCAAATTTTCTGTTTAAGAAAAATTTTAAAACCAGATTTTGTTCTTCCTAAAGGAGATACAGTTCTAGAGTTGATGCAAATTAAAGTAGAAAAGGGAACATTAAGTAATGGCATAGATGAATTCTTACTGTGTTAAGATATCTTATTTTGAAAGGACAGCCCAGAATCACCCAACTTCTCTTCAATCACTTTGGACAGCTTCTCTATCATCCATGGCGAGAAATGATTAAGCCAATCACCTACTTCACCTTTTCTAAAGAAATCCTTCTTGTCAAACTTGTTTACAAACTTCCCAGTCTTGTTCACTTCCAATTCCTTCATCTTCTCAAAGCTACACAGCTCAATTATATTTTCAATAACACCTTCACTTTCCTCCTCAAAATTGAATGGACAATCCATGAACTCAGCCAATCTTCTCAAGTAGAAGTTTATATCCCCTTTCAAATCCTCATACCTTAAAAACAATATCTTGTTTGGTCTCTCTCTGCTTTCTCTCCAATAACCCAACATGTGTGTCCAAAATGGACCACACTCGTTGATCCCACTTGAGTACCTCTCCAATGCTTCCTCACATGATAATTTGGGTAAAGATGGTGGTACAAGTTTGTTTACAAATAAAAAAAGCGATATGAAATTGTCGAATGGGTTACGACATATATAGATGATCTTGCATTTGGATTCGGTAATTGTGTCAGGCAATGAATGAAAAGGAACATGTGTGCTGAAAATTCTCGGTTCAGGCAATATGGAAAGATCAGGAATTTGGTTGTTTACATAATGATTGTACTCGAAGAAAGGAACGAGCTCATGTGGATTGGAAAAGAGTAATGGATGGTTGTTTTGTGAAGGAGAGAAACGCTTACGATTGACAACGGCAAAAGTAAGGGCTTTCAACCAAGTAGTGCCAGATTTTGGCAAGGAGGATAAAATAATATCACTGTCTTTTGCTTGGAAGTTCTTTTGAAAAGAGCTTATGGCTTGGATTCGAGTTGGTATATACCAAATGTCTTGGAAAAGGTAGATGTTTCGATGGCCGAAACCCTTTGTTTTGGGAAGAGAAAGAAGAAGTTGCTTGAATTCTTGGCTGAGTTTTTCATATTCTTCATCGCAAGCCTCATTCTCAAGCTCAACACTTGAGTTGCTTCTTTTGAACGATGTGGTAGTAGTTTCAGCCATTGGAATGCCGCTATAGTGAATTAACTTTCACGTATTTATAGGAAGTTGGGTAATAATAGAACAATTGCAAGGGAAAAATCGTGAAGGCCTATACAAGATATTTTCAGACAATAATATTCTCAAAAGATAGCTTTCACTTTGTCATTCTATATATGTACGCAACGCCTTTCAATTGTTCTTGGATTTTTCCCTTATCATTTTGCGTGTAAAAGATTGTTGGATATTTTTTTGAATACATGGTTATGGAAACCGTGCAAGAAGAAGAAACATCAAGGATTGTTAAGTAATAAGATTCGTTCGTTGAAATTAATTATCTCACTGGCCACTGAAAGATCTGTTTGAGCAAAAAGATGATCGAGGTGACCAACGTTGAAAATGGGAGAATATTAGAAATTTGGCCGCCTCGGTGAATTTGAAAATAAAGACAAAAAGTACTTTTGATTAAACTTTGTTTATGTAGATTTGCTATGAATTGATGTGTTTGAGTTTAAATTTTAAATTAAAATATTATATTTAAAATGATAGAAAAATCCTGTAAATATGTAAATGACAATGAGATCTTGTAAAATGTAATAATTTTTTCCAAGTCTCTTGGGATATTAATTTTCAGACATTAATGTCTTTTATAAAATCAGTATAATTCCCCCAATTTAAAATAAAAAAACAGAGAAATAGATCAATGATTAAAATTTTTTGCAAAGCAGCTATATTTATCTTTTGCTATCCTGTCTTAGTTATTATCAAAAAAAAGAGTTATTACTTAAACAAAAGTGGTTTTTGATATTTATAGTACTTGAATTTTAGTGATTAAAAAATTTTCAAAGGGGAGGTTATTATTACGTATCCCACTTTAGTTATTACCTGAAGAAAAGTAGTTATTATTTAAACTAAAAATAATTATTGCTTTTTACAATTCTTGGACTTCAGTTATTAAAAATTTATAAAATGAAAGTTGTTATTTACTATCTCGTTTTAGTCATTTCTACGAAAAAAATTGGTCATCACTTCAACTAAAAGTAGTCACTAATATTTACAAGTACTTCAAGAAATTTTGTCATTTCACAAAAGATATTAATGTCAGATAGGTCTTTAAAGACTTGAGAAGTAATTATCATATTTAGCAGGACCTCATTGTGATTTTCATATTTTAATAGAATTTTTCTATCATTTCAGCATATTAAATGTAAAATCTCACATTTAAAATTCATAAATTTAAATTTTTTTTTGGTTAATGTAAAAAGTTTTAATCAACTTGTGTTGTTGTGAAACTGTGACCACTGTACTTTCTATGCCATGACTTTGAACTTGTTTATCTTTTGGTACCTGAACTAATTTTCATATTTTAACTGCTAGTTGATCTAGAAACACTTTGTTTGTGTGTGTTTGGATACGGATCATAATTGATTTTTTGGGTAAAAAAAATTGATTCTCCAATTAATTACCCAAACACCAATTTTTCAAAGAATCAACTTTTCTCAAAAAATTGATTTTCCCCTGAACTACAAGATTCAGCTTCTGCGTCTATTATTACAAAATTATATGGGAAAATTACAAGAAAAATCCAAGAAAAAGATTATAAAAAAGGTATAAACTTTAATATAAATAAAACCAAACTCTTTGCTCTTCTTTTTTTCTTAGTAAAATTTGAACTTTGGATTCTCAAAAAAGTTACTAGCATAAATACCAATCAATCACCACCCTCCACTTAACACTCACTATAAAAAATAATTTAAATAAAATATTAAGCAATAGCAGAAAATTAATTTAATTTAAAATTGAGGGTCATTATAAAGATTATTGCAAAGGTCTCCCCCCACACGCACACACACAAAGAGAGAGAGCGAGAGAGAGAGGTTTTGCGTCATTTGTTACATCACTATATTTTTTATGTTACCAAAATTTCTAAGCAGTGGATTAACATCTTTGTCAAATATGGATTATATTCGTGATATTATTAGATATCAACTTGCACACTATCATCCATTAATTATTGTAAAATTGATGTTTAGTTTTTAAGAATTAAATCTATTTTTGGAGGACTATGTTAACACTTAAGAATGTTTTATCAATATTTAAAAGTTTAACGTAAAAATTTATTGAGATAAAACTAACAATGTTAAGGTTAAAAGACTAAAAAAATATTTTATAAAATTAAGATACTAAAATAAAATATTATATAAAGTTAGAGGATTAAATGTGTACTTTAACCATTTTTATTTTATAAAAGGTTGTTTTAATTGATAAAGAATAATAAAATTATAGGTCTTCTATTAAATTTTGATAACCATGAAGAATGAGAACAATATGACTTAACCTTAAAAAAATGAGAGTATCGTTATGTTTTTTAAAATTTTAAATTATTGTTGTTCCCTTAAATTGTGTTAAAAATAGTAAAATTATTTTTTCTATATCATGTGCCTTGTGTATTGGATTAATCTAACATGAAAAACTCTATTAATAACTTAACAAAGTTAGTTAACTGTAGGAAATTTTGAAAATTAAAATTAAAGGTTAGAGAGTTAATTTTAAACATTTAAAGGTACGGAAGGTCATATATAACTACTTTAAAGTTTAAGAAATTTTACGCATTTTAGATATATTTAATGATAAAAAGAAAAGAAAAAATAAAAAATAAAAAATAATTAAGAGGTGGAAACATTAAAAGACATAATTTATCTGTTTCAAACTATAAAACATTTTGGGGCAGATTTAGTGTCCAAAAACATAAGATACTTTGACAAAAATAAAATTTCTTAATTAATGATACCTTTTCAATGTTATCCTTCTCATTATATTCTCTTTCTTTAATATTATTTCATAAATAAAATATTAAATTAAGTACATTTTAAAAAAATTATATTTTTACTTTGAAAAAATAAAATTATAAAATATACTCTCTCCATCTTCTGAAAGCTACACAACTCAATTATGTTTTCAATAACACCTTCACTTTCCTCCTGAGAATTGAATGGGCAATCCAAGAACTCAGAAATTCTTTTCAAGTAGAATTTGATATCGCTTTTCAAATCCTCATACCTTAAAAACAATATCTTGTTTGGTCTCTCTTTGCTTTCTCTCCAATAGCCCAACGAATTTGTCCAAAACGGACCACTCCAATAGATCCCATTTGAGTATCTTTCCAATGCTTCTTCACATGATAATTTGGGTATAGATGGTGGTACAAGTTTGTTTACAAACAGCCAATATGATATGAAATTGTCGAATGGGTTACGACATATATAGATGATCTTGCATTTGGATTTGGTAATTGTGTCAGGCAATGAATGAAAAGGAACATGTGTGCTGAAAAGTCTTGGTTCAGGCAATATGGAGAGATGAGGAATCTGGTCGTTTTTATAATGATTGTACTCAAAGAAAGGAACAAGCTCATGTGGATTGGAAAAAAGTAATGGATGGTTATTTTGTGAAGGAGAGAAACGCTTACGATTGACAACGGCAAAAGTAAGGGCTTTCAACCAAGTAGTGCCAGATTTTGGCAAGGAGGCTAAAATAATATCACTGTCTTTTGCTTGGAAGTTCTTTTGAAAAGAGCTTATGGCTTGGATTTGAGTCGGCACATACCAAATGTCTTGGTAAAGATAGATGTTTTGGTGGCCGAAACCCTTGGTTTTGGGAAGAGAAAGAAGAAGTTGCTTGCATTCTTGGCTAAGTTTTTCATATTCTTCATCGTAAGCCTCGTTCTCAAGCTTAACATTTGATTGGCTTTTTGGTGAAGGATGTAGTACTAGTTTCAGCCATTGGAAATGCCGCTATAGTGAATTAACTTTCGTTTATTTATGGGAAGCTGGGTAATAATAGAACAATTGTGGGGAAAATCGTGAAGGCCCATCCAAGATATTTTCAGACGACAATATTCTTAAAAGATAACTTTCATTTTGTCATTTCTATATATGTACGTGACACCTTTCAATTGGTCTTGGATTTTTTTTTCCCTTATCATTTTTCTTTAATAAGATTTGCTTGATTTTTTTTTTAATGCTTGGTCATGGAAACCCGTGCAAGAAGAAGATAATACATGATATTTTAACTTCCAATGCCAGGGTGGTTCATTAAAGATTGTTTAGTCATAAGATTTGTTTGTTTGAAATTAATAATCACACTAACCACTGAAAGATCTATTCGAGCAAAAAGACGATCGAGGTGACCTACGTTGAAAGTGAAAGAATATTTGAGAATTTGTCCGCCTGGGTGGAATTGCAAATAAAGACAAAAATACTTTCGATTCGACTTGGTTTCTGCAGATTTACTATGATTTGTTAGATTATTTTAGGTAACATTTGAATGGATAGATTTGTGTTTAAATTTTAAATTAAAATATTAGATTTGAAATGATAAAAAAAATTTTCATAAAATATGTAAATGACAATAAAGTTTTATAAAATATGATAATTTTTTTTAGTCTCTTGTGACTTGAATTTTCTGACATTAATATTTTTTATAAAATGACTATAGTGCTCTCAATTTAGATCAATAATTAAAAATTTGTAAAATAGTTAAATTTATCTTTTGTTATTTCTATTTTAATTATTATTAAAAATAATTATTACTTAAATAAAAGTTGCCACTCAAAAATGCTTTGTTGGGTTTGGACAGGTGGAAAGGAGTACAAACACATTTGTTGGTGGTGGGTCCCAACATTTGAGGATGAAAAAATCCTTCCCCTTAAAATTCGTTCTTTTCTTTCGAAAACTATTCTTGCTTCCTCTGTTTTTTCAAGCACATAGTCTTTTTCTTCATAAAACTAACTCAAAATCACAAAAAAGTTAAACTCAAAAGAGAAGTAGAGCACATAGCTCGAGACATTTTCTCTTTTTTGTCAAAAAAAAGTTCTGCAATCATGTTTGTCATTGGTTCGCGTGCTTGGGTAATTTGCAGGTTGAAAAGCCAAATACAGGTTGGCATTTTCAAAAGCAAAAGCTGTGTCAGCTTCCTTTAATGAAAGGAGCTTCGAAATTAAGTTAATCATGCCGGGTTGTACAAGGTGATAGGGATTCTGGAGAAAATATTAAATAAAATGGTTGGAAGGGAGAAAGGAAAAGTTATCATAGTAATAGAGGTTCAGCGTATAAGCTTGCTGGATGAAGAAGCTAACTTGCTGGTGTCAATTTGATTTTCGAAGACAATTTCCAGACTTTCCTCTTGTTCAGCCTTGAGGACAAGGGTGTTTGGGGAGGAGAATATTGAAATGTAAATATTATAATACATAAGGGTTAGTTTTGTAGAAGGGATATATTAGTCATTAGACGTATTACTGTTACTAGCGTTAGTAGGTAAATATCAATAATTGTCAACTGTTAGTTGTTCTAGTGACAATGTCACTTTCTTTTCTTGAAAGAAATTCTAGATTCAGAACCCAGTGTTCACATGTTTGTATGCGTTTGCGGGTGCGTGTGTCTTTCTTTTTTATGAAAAAAGGTTAGATTAAAGATAAATTTTTAAAATTTAAATATAACTAATTATGAGACATTGTTATTGATTTTCTAATGATCAAAGTATTACTCAGCTTCTCTCCTCTGTTTCTTTCTCTCTCTCTTTTTTTTTGTTTTTTTGCCAAAACTTTGCTATGTTTCTCTCTTCCTCTCTTCTACCTATCTTTTTTTTTTTTTTTATTTCACTATCTTCTACCTTATCACACAGCACCCCCTCTTTACCTAAATTATTTTCACACTTCAATGTCGATGCAATTAGATCCACTAGCTTTGTATTTTACTATTTTTTTAAGAGCTTACTTTACCATGATACCACATATCTTTCAATAAAATGACAAATTATTTTCTCTTTTATAGGTTAATAAATCTTTCAAGTTATTAGACAAATCCCTCCATCATTGGAAAGCTCATAAAAGTAGGTTTCTCAGTTATTTTTAATATCATCATTATAACCACAACTCCTCCTTCATCCTTTAATGCCCTGTTTTAGATTTCTTGATTTTTTTCCTCACTCTTTGCAATATTAAATATAGTAAAATAATTTAAAAAATAATCCATAGTAATCTAAAAGGTTACATGTGTTCAAATTAAATCCTAAGATCATTGTAATAAAATAAAAATATTAAATTTAATTAATTATGTATGGACGGGAAAGGGAAAGAGAGAAGAGAATAGAAAAGAGAAAAGAGAGCATTGATAGAAAAGAGGACTCGAAAGGGAGGCAAATCAATATCAATTCTTATTTATTAGAAAAAGCATATAAAGAAAATGTTTTAAAGCATTATATATATGCATTAGCCTTAACCCTAGAAATTAAAGCATTAAAAATAGAATATTCTATAAATCCTAATAATTAAATTAAAATATTGTAAAATAATTTAAAAGATAATCTAATAATATAAGATTACATTTATTCAAATAAAATCCTAATATCATTCTAATAAAATAAAAATTTAAAAGTAATTAATCTCGTATCTCTCATTTCTCTCTAGCTTGAAGGAACTCTTCCCCAGAAAGTAATATTGGTGATGGCTTCAGGGAAGCAATATGTAAGGAGGAGATTCCATGGTAAGCATGTAGCAGCATCTAGTGATAATCTATGATGGATGTTTAACACTTGTGGAGGCGAGGCGCAACAATGATGGTGGTTTGAAGATTTGATGGCCGGATGTGAGAGATAGTTCTCTAGCAATGAGTTGAACATAGTTCGAATGATAACTATTTATGTGGAATTTTGTATTTTATGGGTAGCGAAAGAGAGGTGAAACATGACTCTGATGCTAATTGATACAAAAACGCAAGGAAGGGGAAAGGGAGAAGAATAGAGGAGATAGAAAGAAAGTAGTGATAGAAGAGAGAAAAGGAGGCAAATCAATAACAATTTTTTTTTTTTGTAATCAGTGAGAAAAAAAGCCCAAAATTCAATATCAATTATTATTTATTTAAAATGGTGTACAAAGAAAATGTGTTGTGGCATTATATATAGGCCCCAACCTCAGCCTCAGAAATCAAAGCATTAAAAGCAAAATATTCTATAAATCCTAATAGTAAATTTCAAATATTTTAAAATAATTTAATATAGTGTTTGGATTGGTGGATTTGGATTAATTTGAATTCTAGATTTCAAATCTTACATTTAAAATTCATACATTTAAAATCCTTTGTTGTTTGGGTAGTTTAAAAATTTTAAATGAAAAAGGGAGATGACTTGAGAAAATGGTTCAATCAATGGGAGACAATAATATACAATATAAGAAAATATATAATAGTCATAGAGGTATCAATAGTAAAAATATGAAGAAAACAAGAGATTTGAAATCATCACTGAAATTTCAAATAATTTGGATGTAAAAAGAAATCAAAATCATAGAGAAATTATAATAAGAAATGGATTTTAATTTACTCATAAAAAAAAGAAATGAATTTTAAATTCAAATCCATAAATTCTTGTGTATTCAAATGAAGGATTATATTTAGTCCAAATCCAAATCCCCATTGACCTAAACATACTATAAATGGTAATCTAGTAACTTAAGAAATTACGTTTATTCAAATCAAACCTTAATATCATTCTAATAAAATAAAATCTTAAATCTAATTAATCTCGTATCCCATCACTTGGCTCATTTACAATCTTTATTGAACTGAGCCCATTCTGTTCAGAGAAATGACACAACTGTTCGAACTTATTTTTTTTAAAAAAAAAAAAAAAAAACCCTATACATAGCGTTTCATGTAATGTTCAACCGTAGTGTAGTTAATTTCAGGGTAAAGTTGGCATGCTTCAACTCCTTCTTCTCCTATCTCGAAATTTGCTAGACATCCTTCGAAGCAAACATGGTAGTAATGTATCAATCCAACCTGCTCTGCATATGCTTGTCCTGTAACAACCAGAAAATGAACGCAGACATTAAGAATATAGCTTTTTTCTTTTTTTTTTTTTTCTTTTTCATGTATTACCTGCATTACAAGTAATGAGGAAAACTACTGGCAATTCAACTACACAGATGATACTTTTCTTCTAAGTTGTCAAACAATCTCTCTTTCTGCAGGTACCAACTATACCGCTACTTGTCAGTGAACTGATCTCACCTTCTAAGGAAGCTAGAAACTGTTGTTCAGAAATTGAAGACTTCTTTAACTCTTTCCCAATGAGCTTCTCCCAGATTTGGACAACCTCTCTCTGGGACAAGATGTTCTTAGGTGGCCGTATGTAAACTGTCTTGTTTAGAGTCCTGGGGTCATCTATAGTTTTGATAGTGTAGCTGGCTATGTCATCTTCATCTACATAAATCGCTGCAAAAGTGGGATGAACATCATGGCAAACAACCTCATGCATGCTGGTCTAGTGAATCATAAAATACATGAAAGTATATCAGATATAGTGTATTTTACCCTTTTTGTTGCCATCTCCAAACAAGACCACATAATCCTTCGAGGGTAGAATGAAACCAGGCTGACACAGACCACCGAGGAAATAACCAGCAAAACAGTTAGCAGAAACATAGGTGAAGGGTATGTTGGCCTCTTCAATGGCTTTCCTCACAACCATTTTGTCATCAAATGTTACTCTTCCAGGCTCCAATGCATATTCCATTCTTCCAGGATCCGTCCCGAACTCAGACGGCAAAAACCTCTACACAAATCAGTAATTCATATGTATTGTCTTGTTCATTTTGGCAGAACTTCACAACTTGAATGACTACATGGCAATTTAATGAACATTACATGCACATGTAGCCAACTCCATCTCTTAACTTACTAAGATGTTTCATTATTGAAAGGGAGAATGACAAAAAAACAAAAATACTGTCAAAATATGCAAATGACAATTAAGTATCATAAAATGTGATAATTATTATTTAGTTTTTAAGGATTTGTTTGTTATTTTAATTTTTGATGAAATGACATATTTTTCTCAATCACTACTATAAGAAATGACTATTTTGGTTGTGTTATTGACTAAAATAAAATAGAAAATGACTGCTTTATTTATAATTTTTTCATAAACAAATATGTAGAAAGAAAGTTGTCATTCTCTACTCCTGTTTAGCCAATAACACAACCAAATGGTTAATCCCTATAATAATTATTGGGAACAAATATGTCATTTCATCAATAATTAAAATATCAGAGAAGTTTCTAGGGACTAAAATATGTATTGCATTTTGTAGTACTTAATTGTCATTTGCATATTTCAGAGATTTATTTTTGTCATTCTCTCTTACTGAAATCTCATGTTACCCGAGACCTAAGGGACATTGATACATATACAAGATACAAAATCTCAAAAATGGTTGTCGTATATTTTGTTCAAGTAATTAGTACCTTGATGTTTCCAGCTTCTTTAATGGCATCAACGAGCTTGAGTTGAAGTAGGATGTGGTGGCTGCGAATATGGACGCCAGATATGGCACAAATGACAACATCAACAAGCTTTACTGCATTCATAAGGCTCTGGTGGTCATCAAAGGAGCCTGAAATTAGGTGAGCTCCTTGCTCTTTAAATGACAATAGAAGCTCAACCTTCTCAATGTCAACTCCTATCTCTCTTCTTTGAAGAACGTAGGTTTGATGTCCCTCTGCCAAACATGCCTTCACCAACCGCTTCCCCAAGTACCCAGTTCCCCCAACAATCAGTACTCTGCTCCTATCCATGTCTCTTTAGTTTCTCTCTCTGCGCGTGCTAATCTGGCGGTGATGTGTTGCTCTTCACATATACATATATGCAAAGAAAATTTGAGCTTGACCTTGATGTCTTGGAGTGTGTACGTGGGTCAGGAAAACTTGAAAAATTCAACCTTATACAATTAATTATCATGTTTGGTTTCGCTTGGCAGAGATAACATAAAAATACGGGTTGCTTTGTCTTCTAGCTTTAGCAGATACGATGGCACCATTTAGAAGAATAGATTTCTCTACATCAGCGAATGTCCAAAAGTCATAACTAATAGAGAGAATTACAGTTAAATTTCAAAACTTTAAATTAATGATAATTAAGTCTCGAAGATGTTTTTTGACAAGATTAGTTGAAAATATGGATCCAAATAATTAGAAATCTATGAGTTTTAATTGCAAATAATAATTTAAATATTAAACATAACTCTTGAATTAAAACAAAAATTTATTTGTAACTGTTTGAATTGATATTTGCAATTTATTTTGTAGAAAATTTTGTCAAAGATCTACTTGTTATTAATTCAGTATCTTGGGACCTAACTATAATTCTCCTTAATTGATACTAGTATTTATAAAACAAAAAACATTATATTACAATTATGTTACCATGTCATTAGATAAACTTAAAAAGGAGAATGACAATTAAGTCTCAAAAGAAGAAATTCATGATAGCTAGGTCCTTAATAAATTTTTTTTTGAAAAATCAATTGTAAATATCAATTCAAATAATTGTGAATTTAAAAGTTTTATTTGCAAACATCATATTTAAACTCTAGATATAACAACTAGTTTGCAATTTAGATTCATGTTTATAATTGTTTGAATTGATATTTATAATTTCTTTACAACAATTTTTATTGAGGAGTTAACTATAATTAATTCATCTTTTTAGGACTTTATTGTCTTTCTCCTAAACTCAAAACTATGCAATCCTCAAGAGTAAGGTTTCGCATGCTAGAAACTAATTAAATGGGCAAAATCAAATATTATAATCATTGTTTTAAGAGCTGGACCATTGTGAATATCGACTGGAGCCAAACCAATTTGGATTAAAAGTTCATTTTCATGGTTGATCAAAGTTGGATTGGAGTTGAACTACCATTGAGCTAGAAAGCAGAGGCAAATCAAGAACTGAAAAAATTTTCAGAGAATTGGACGAGTCTAAATATAATATAAAAATGCTAAAATTTTAAAAAATAGAAAAATTAAAAAACTAGACTCTACTAAAAGCTAACTTTATATGTACACCCTTAACATGTATATAACGTGATTTAAGACCATATTTCTAGAAAGATGTTGACAGCTTTGAGTGCAAATGCAGATACTTCTAACACTACTACAGAATATATCTTTAGGAGCGGGTATTTAGGAGTGCTTTTTAAATAAGCGCTCTAAAATGTGAATGCGGAATTTACAAGAGCGCTTTTCTAAATAAGCACTTATGTATGTCAGGCTTCTCAATAAGATAACGCTCCTAATTAATATAAATAAAATGTTGTGAAAAATTTAAAAAGACCTTCAGGAGCGCTCGTACTTAAGTGCTCCGAAAGATACTGTTTAGGAGCGCTCTTCCAGAGCGCTCGTGAAGGACCGCTTCGGAAGATCAGATCTTCTAGAGTGCTCGACGATGAGCACTCCGGAAGAGCTGCTCTTCCGGAGTGCTCATTAATGAGGGCTCCGGAAGAGTGCTTGCAGCCTTTATTTATCTCCTGTTAGTTTTCTTTTCTCCATTCAGTTTCTTTCAAACCTCTCTCTCTTTTGCTGAGACTGTGCATTCCCAATGAGTTCCAGATCTTCATTGTATCAGTCTATCATCACCGTTGTTTGCTGTTCCAGATCACTGTTTGCTATTTCTTTCAAGAGTGCTGTTCGCTATTCGCTATTTGCTGCTCATCCGTCTCTGTATCACGCATCTATCTCTATTTATGTGCCACCGTCGATGTCATCGGCATCTCTTGTGTTGCCATCATCGGCATCTGTCCGCTAAGCGCTGTTTGCTATACACTGTTTGTTGTTCCAGATCTGCATTGCTGTTGCAGATCTGCACCGCTGCTGTACATTGGAGAAAGCGACACCATGAAGACCTTCATTGCCGTCATGCATCGCTGTTATATAGCGAAGGAAGCAACGTCACTACTGTCGTGAAGACCGCTGTTTTTTGTCGTGAAGACTACATTTTGAAGGTATTTTTTTTAATAATTAATTTATATATATTTGAGAATGAATTATATATATATATATATATATATTTTAATAATCAATATTATAGATAATATATGAATTGAAGTTATTTATATTAGAATTATGGAGTATTTGTAGTTGAAATTTTAGATTAAAGTTGAGGAAACTACTTGAACATTTTTATTTTATTTATGAAATATACTTTTAAGGGAGATTAATGTTATTAATTAAATTAGAATTGATTGACAGAATTTAGATGCATTATGCTACTAAATTTTTATTTGGATGAATTGATTTTTTTAATTTAAATGTATTGTATTGTGGAATTTGATTGTTTGATCATTTGGGAGATTCTTCTTTTAAGGAAGATGCTGTTGAATGCTTTTTTTATAGAAATCTAAGTCTTTTGTTTATTGAATTTTAATAATCATATTAGTGATATGGATCATAAGTGGATGTCAGCTAATCAACTATCTAGAGAATATTGGGATGGTATGGATGAATTCATTGAATTTGTATTTTGTCGTGATTAAGACCCCCGTGGAGTCATATGTCCTTGTTTGAAATGTTGCTATGAAAAAAGAGTAAAGCCAATAAAACTGAAAGATCATTTAATATGTAATAAGATTAATCCAACTTATACTTATTGGACCATGCATGGGGAAACAAGGAATAATGTAAATGATTGGAGGGATAGTGCGAGCTACTCAACATTTGATCATAACAGTGGGACATATGATGTTGACCATCTTGATGAAATAATTGATGTGCTTGAAGAGGATCTTAGAGACTGTCCTGAGATGTTTGAGAGGTTGAAGAGTTATGCTGATAAACCATTATACCCCGGTTGTAAAAAATTCATAAAACTATCAGTTATTTTGAAACTATACAACCTAAAAGCAGCGAATGGATGGAGCGATAAGAGTTTCAAGAATTTGCTTGAACTCTTATATGAAATGTTACCTGAGTACAACGAGCTTCCACCTAATACTTACGAAGCTAAAAAAGTGCTTTGTTCTATTAGGATAAGCTATGAGAAGATACATGCATGTCCAAATGATTGTGTCTTCTTTCAGAAAGAGTATTCAACCCTAGATAAGTGTCCAAAATGTGATGCATCATGGTACAAGAGAAATGGATGTAGCCCAGCGAAGGCATTATGGTATTTTTAAATCATACTAAGATTTAGACGCCTACACAGCATTGTAGAAGATGCTAAACACTTAACATGGCATACTGACGAGAGAATTAAGGATGGTAAGCTATGGCACCCTGTAGATTCTCCTTAATGGAAAAAGTTTGATCTTATGTACCTTGAGTTTAAGGTTGAAGATAGAAACTTACGCCTTGCACTAGCCACTGATGGAATGAACCCACATGGCATGCAAAGTAGTACTCATAGTACATAGCTGGTTATTTTGATAATCTACAACCTCACTTCAACATTGTGCATGAAGCACAAATTTATGATGCTGTCATTATTAATTTCTAGGCCTCGACAACTAGGAAATGATATAGATAGATGTGTACTTAGCTCCTTTGATTGAAGAAGATTTTATGGGAGACAGGTGAGGAAGTTTATGATGGGTATAGAGAAGAACATTTCATCTTGCGAGCAATCTTGTTTGGCACCATAAATGACTTTCCTGCCTATGGTAATTTATCAGGATACAGTATTAAAGGATGAGATGCATGTCTGGTATGTGAGGAGCACACTTGTTCAGTGTGATTGGAATATTGTAGGAAGAATGTCTTTATTGGTCATCGATGATTTTTGCCACAAACACATCACTACCAATGACTGAAGAAGGCCTTCAATGGCCACCCGGAGAAGGGGTAGAGTTCCCATGCCATTAACTGGTGAGCAGCTCTTTGAAAAGGTAAAAGATTAAATATTAAATTTGAAAAACTATTTGCAAGTAAGATTGTTAAGAGTGGTTGGAAAAAGAAGTCCATATTCTTTGAGCTACCATACTTAAAGACATTAGATGTTAGGCATTTCCTAGATGCAATGCATATCATACTTTTGTGGTGCCGGGCTTATTGATAACAAAATTTTCATTTATTAGCCCACACAACACTAGTACCTACAGTGTTGAGTACCATTCTCAAAAGATTACTGATGCATTCAAATCCAAAGGCAAAAGAAACATGTTATTTTTAGCTCCTCCCAATTCAGGATAAATTGTTATTATTGTTTATTTTTAACTTTAGTTGATATTTTAGTTAATGAAATATTTTATTTTTTCAAGCAACATTGGGTGCTTGTTTGTATCAATCCATTCATCCCTGTGATTTATTATCTTGATTCATTAAGAGATAGTGACTCTAAGAAATACAAATATATGAGGATATTATTTAACCAGTAAGTTTTTAGTTCTATATTCTTTATATATGTTTATTATAACAATTAGTTATTACTTGGTATGCTTAATCATTATATAATAAGGCTGTAGCACGTTATCAAGGAGGTGAAGGTCTCCCTCCAAACACCAAAAGACCTGATCCTATTGAGTTTTATTCATGAAAATAAAGGTTTGTATTATTTTCTTAATAAAACAAGTTGGTACATATCTAAATGATTGTTTGATTAATATTTTATGTTTCTTATTATGAATATGTTATTCTGGATTAATGTAAAATTTTTAGAAAATTTTGGAACTTCCAAGTTATAGGGGAGACTCTGCATTTTTGACAGCAAATACTTGTATCATATATATAACTTCATCACTGAAGTATTTTAAATTAAGTTAGAATTTCTTTCTACCATATTTTGATAATGACATTTTTTATTGTTTTATAGGTACCTACACAATTA